GCCACACTGCAGCTGATCTTTTCCCCATCACTGACTTACCATGCCTTGTTGTACATTGTGTCTCTGTGTGAAGGCGGCCATCTTGGTAGAGGAGTAGGGATTTGCTGATGTCATGTCATACCCCAACATGTATACCCCCATCATACCAGGAACATACCCCAACATTTCTACCCCACCATACCAGGAACATATTCCAACATTTATACCCCCATCATACCAGGAACATACCCCAACATTTATACCCCACCATACCAGGAACATACCCCAACATTTATACCCCCATCATACCAGGAACATATCCTAACATTTATACCCCACCATACCAGGAACATACCAACATTAATATGCCACCATACCAGGAACATACCCCAACATTTATACCCCCATCATACCAGGAACATACCCCAACATTTATACCCCACCATACCAGGAACATACCCCAACATGTATACCCCCATCATACCAGGAACATATCCCAACATTTATACCCCCATCATACCAGGAACATACCCCAACATTTATACCCCACCATACCAGGAACATACCCCAACATGTATACCCCCATCATACCAGGAACATATCCTAACATTTATACCCCACCATACCAGGAACATACCAACATTAATATGCCACCATACCAGGAACATACCCCAACATTTATACCCCCACCATACCAGGAACATAGCCCAACATGTACAGTATGCCTTCACCATACCTGGAGCATACCTGGACAGGATCTTAACTCACAGCCTACTGCAAACTACAATGTGCTTTTCATAGTTGGATTCAAGGATTACACCGAGGTCACTGACCTGCTTGAACAAATCCTCAGAAGCTCTGGGGAAAGGAAAGCAACTTTGCAAGCGCCTCCAGTGCCAACGTGCTAACATCTCATACTCCAAGTCCAGGGAAAGACCCATCCGAAGAAAGCAGAAGAGATATGAGACACCAACCATCGTTTATTAATATATTCATACAAAACACCGTGCGAGGTGACATAGTCATTGTGTTTTCTCTCTCTGGTTCGAGTTTGTGAGGATCCATCAATAATGTGAAGGCTTCGTGCAGAGCTCTCACCCGGCAGCTTCTGTGACCGGGCAGGTTTGGCATCACACAAGTGTGATCTTGTCACTCCTACAAAAGGTCTCTCGCATTGCCTTGGCATTCATACATGGGTTATGTACCCAGCGTGGCTCTCCCGGCTGAGCAGTGCCTTGCTCTTTGGCCAATGAACTCATTGAGTGCCCGGGGCTGTAAAGTGGGCAAAACATTGTACAAATGTATTTGTATTCTGCCCGCAGTGATGATATTTTCTGTACACTTCAGTGAAATGTGAAATAGTGCGGGTGGATATTGCAAATTCCCTTTTCCTGCCAGCAGGTGGAGCTTAGGTTCCTTTTCACATGTTTACCGGGCTCGTCTTAGCTACTTTGTGGTAATCAAGACTGTTGTTTACAGAGCTAACGATTGAATTAAAACACAGTTGTATAAATCACAGGAATGATTCAC